TCTCTCTCTCCTCTCTCTCTTCCTCTCTCTCTCTCTCTCCTCTCTCTCTCTCTTCTCTCTCTCTCTCCCTCTCCCTCTCCCTCTCCCTCTCCTCTCTCTCTCTCTCTCTCTCTCTCTCCTCTCTCTCTCTCTCTCTCTCTCTCTCTCTCTCTCTTCTCTCTCTCTCTCTCCCACCCTCTCTCCTTCTCTTCTCTCTCTCTCTCCCTCTCTCTCCTCTCTCTCTCTCTCTCTCTCTCTCTCTCCTCTCTCTCTCTCTCTCTCTCTTCTCTCTCTCTCTTCCCTCCCTCCCTCCCTCCCTCCCTCTCCCCTCCCTCCCCTCCCTCCTCCCTCCCTCCCTCCCTCCCCTCCCTCTCTCCCTCTCTCCTCCCTCCCTCTCTCCCTCCCTCCCTCTCTCCCTCTCTCCCTCCCTCTCTCTCTCTCTCTCTCTCTCCCTCTCTCTCTCTCTCTCTTCTCTCTCTCTCTCTCTCTCTCTCTCTCTCTCTCTCTCTCTCTCTCTCTCTCTCTCTCTCTCTCTCTCTTCTCTCTCTTTCTCTCTCTCTCTCTTCTCTCTCTCTCTTCTCTTCTCTCTCTCCTCTCTCTATCTCTCTCTCTCTCTCTCTCTCTCTCTCTCTCTCTTCTCTCTCTCTCTCTCTCTCTCTCTCTCTCTCTCTCTCTCTCTCTCTCTCTCTCTCACTGTCTTACCCAGGATCTCAGGAGAGAAATGGGGTGGTACCTTGGACTCATTGCATCCAAAGCAATAGCCAAAGGTATTCTCAAAGGCTTTCCACTTGACTTTATCTACCTTGCATCTTGGATTATGCTGCACAGTAATAGCTAGAGCAGCATCAAAGAGGGGTGATGCTTTGACAGGCTCATCTAATTCTCATCCAGCTGAACAGGGATGTATTCAGTAATTTGTGTTGTCTTTGTCATCTTGTACTAACAGATGTCTCCCACAGGTCTCCAGTTAGCAAGCGAGTGCGAACAGAGAGCAATGTGAGCCCTAAGGCATCGCCAGTACCAAAGCTCTCAGGTCATCCGCTTAGACCTCGTAAGAAACCTGTACCTGATATTGTCCTTCGCAGCCGCACTAATAATCAGGTACAGTATTATTCTTATTAAGTAGTAAAAGATGATTGTTTGGTGACAATCTTAGGTAGTGGCATTTTTTTATTTTGATTATAACATATTTTGTCATTTGCATAATTGTCAGCAATAGGTTAGGAAGTGATGCTTTGATTAGCTGAAAGTTCTTCATTTTCATTTTGAATGGTTTGTTTCTTTGCTCATTAATATTTTTCAGCCGTAAATACCCATTTTTTCAATTACCTTGAATAATTTGTGCTTTAAGCCTTTCCATTTATAATGTCATTTTGATATATTTAGATATTTGGGGAAAATATTTCTGTAGCTTATATTTGTAAAGCAAGATTGTTAAGGCTGATTGACCTGTAACTTTGTAAAGATCATGATTCAAGTAATTGAAATAGACTTAGTTAATCTTGTAAAAAAAAAAAAATCTTGTGATATTGCAGGTGAAAATCCACGAGGATTACACATGTATGCTTTACAAGACAGAAAAGGACGGAACCAAGTTCTGCCTCCTGCAGGTGGCTTGTTTCAAAGAAAAATATGTCTTCTTTATGCGATCAGGACTCAAGGTAGGTTGTGGAGACTGGAGTACGTGTGAAATTATAGAACGGCTTGTATGTAAAGACTGTGTATACTGGGAAAGAGAAGAGCACTGTGAATATTAACTTCTATATCATTATTTGTCTTTTTTTACATCTTACTATATACACATTTATCTCTTCTGAGCTTCTCTTGATTATTGTTGTTGTAACTTACCTTGGTTTTCATTATATATTTTTATTGCTGTGATATCATATCTAGTCTCTGATTTTAACATAGGTACTTGAAAGACATGTCCACAAGTTTTCACAATTTGCATCTTGCATACTTTTTCTGTATCCAAGTCTACCAAAGTTGTCTTTTTTCTCCTTTCCCTTATTTTCATATTAGATATATTTACTCTCTGACAGTCTTGCTATATCATTTCTGAATTTAGGGAGAAGATGGGAAGTGGCATGCTGCCCGAGAACCTAACGTGAAGGAGGCGATGAAGTCTTTCAAAAAAATGTTCCGAGAGAAAACGGGGGTTGGCTGGAATACGAGGGACAGTTTTGTTGCCCAGCCCGGAAAGTATATCCTGGCTGAAAAAGGTAGGTAATGTAAATGTTGATGATAAATGTATTATGTCAAAATAATTTTGTAAATGCAAAATTATTTTGACATTAGATTATGGGTTTAATGAACAGTGATTTAGGCACATGAGATGAGGATGTAGAACAGAGTTTACCATGGCAGAAAATGCTTTTGATTCCCATAGTTTAGAGTGATAGCAAAAGTATTTTTTCTTTTTTGTGGTAACTAAGTGAAGAGTAGGTAATGGTATCTTTTGTGTTGATGTGCCACATATAAGTCTGATTATAAAAGGATGTCACCCCCAGAGTTTAAATGAATAAGTAATATGTAACACCATTTTCAATAATACGTTGACAAGTGCATATAGTTGGTCATAAACATATTATATGCCCTGTAATTTACTTGACAAATATAGTTATAATACTTCTGTTGTCTCTTTATCATCATTGACTTTTGCCTAAGGAAAGGAATATACCCATGTAAGGGATGTAGAGCCCATTGTATCCTTTATCTATCTTGAAAATGAATGAAAATGCAATGTATAGTCTTGCATAGTCTAGTCTGTTGAAAGAATTCATTATTTTAACCATTCAGATGAAGATGATGGTGAGAAGGAAGAAATCTCAGATGATGAAGGTGGACAGAGTGCCGAAGAAGAAGAGATTCAACCACTTGATGAACGGACAGAACTTATGGTGAAACTGATTCTTGACAGGGACATGTTTTTGGACCAACTTGCAGTCTTAAAGCTCGGTAGGTTTAAAATACTTGAGATGGTGGTGTTTCTTACTGTTTCTGTATGTATTTGTTTATTTTTCTATTTCTTACTGTTTCTATTTCATATTTTGTATCAATGATATTTCAATCTGTTTTATTTTTATTATTTTTATTTTTACTCAACTGTAAGAAGACATGGGAAGACAGATCAGGGGTATTGGACACCAGAGAGAAATTACATTACTCTTGTGTCTTTTTCAATAGGCTTATCTAAAATCACACATTAATACCCATTAAAGAGAAAGGGTATGAATTGTTCACCCTCTGCAAATGTGTTATGACCACAGAATTATAATTGGGTATAGCATACACACCTAAAAACACTTATAAGCCGTACATGTGTTTTAAGCCATGAAACCTTGCATGAGCCTTATAGCCTGTGCGAAGTTGATTCTGCAAATTGACTAAGAAGTCAAGAACTATTGACAGTTTGTCTTTAAAGAATGATCACACATATGGAAGGTTGTGTGTATTATGATATTGTTGAAATAATCTTAGTGCATTTGTTAGAACAGAGTGATAGTACACATGTAATTAGATTCAAATAACCTTGTTTGTTTGATCTTACAAGTAACGATAATCACTTTCATTAATTGCTGACTTTGATATAAAACACATCATTTACACTAATGTTTCATAACCTAAAAATTACCTGGCATTCAAAATTTTTGTGTTATAAAAAAAAGGAAAAAAAGAAAGATCATTAACAGCAGCAATCTCTCATTTCATTCTATACTTATTGTTAATGTTCTTTTGAATATGTAGAGTGGCCTCACTGCCTTATTAAAGAAAGAGGATTACTAAGACCAAGGCATCGCATCCTATGTTAGAAAGAACCATAGATAAAAAATTACACTCCTCACGGTTTGGTTTCGTCTTGTATGATTATTGTTATAATTCCTGTTCTGCGTATTATGATTCTTCAAATAATTGTTATTATTGTTATCATAGTTGTTATAGCTTTTGTTATTTTTATGATCTTTGTTATTATTGTTAGTAGTAGTTGTAGTCTGCTATTATTGTTATTACTATTATTATTATTTCTGTTATGTATATTATCAGTATTCCTACTATTAATATTCTTACTATTAATGTTATTATTATCACCATTATTATTCTTACTATTAATGTTATTATTACCATTATTATTATTACTATTATTGCTATTACTCTTGTTATTAATACTATTATCATAATCATAATTATTATTATTGTTATATTATTTTGTTATTATTATTATCATTGTTATTATTCTTTCTATAGA